CCTTACCATTTGAAATAAGTACTAAAATATTTATAGATAAAATATAATCTCTGGGGTTTGGAAAAAAATCTGAGAAGGGCAGGTGGGGAATGGATGGGAAGATAGGCCATGGGTATTGGGCCTGGTTAAGAACATTCAGAGATCATTATATACTTCTACCTACTTTAGTATTCTCCACAATAAAAAGACAAAGTTTGCTCTCTTTACTTACTAGTTTAGGCTACTCTCGTAAGAGCTAATGAAATATGTAGATGATTTGCCATTAAAATGGTGCTATAAAACCCAATACCAAAATACATTATATACTACTGTTACATATATTAGTAATAGTCACCATTTATTATTTACTCTACTAGGCTACTAGGCACTGTTGCATAAATGATATCATTTTTACAATGAGCTTACCAGGTAGTTACCACTAAAGGCTCAGAGAGGTTTAAAAAGTTTGCCCAGTATCATCAGGATGGAAATAAACCCGCTGAATGTTCATTATCTGTTCCAAATATGAAGGAAATAATGATTAACACAATAACTCAAACACAGTGTTCACATCCATAACGATGTACTTCATTTCCAAATAATCATAAACCATCAGGTAGATTTGGCCAAAGACAAGGTTGAAATCAGTTTATATTTACCTAGTTAATTTAATACTTGATGGACTTACAATTTTTATTTGCATTTACAATAAAATCAAGTATAACGCTAGCTGACTGCAAAGAGTCACTATTTACAGCCACAATTGGAGGGGGGAGGGAGGTAGCACAGTTTAAAGGCAGCAGGTTTAGCTTTAAGACAGCTGGTTCAGCCTCCTTAAAATTATGAAACTAACCATGTACAATCATGGGAATCTGGCCCTAAAAGTGATAGCGATCAATCCCCTATGTTAGAGCATTGAATTCTGAACAATCCATAAACATACATGAAATTTAGGAATTACTTTATATCTTATATCAGTTTGCAAAGTTTTATGCAATTGTGGATTGTATTATAGAAACAGTTCCTTAAAATTGTCAATATTGTTTCCTTAATGGAACCACTGCATTCCTAAAAGCACATGCATTTTTACAAATTATTAATAATTGCTTTAATGAAACAAATGATATTTTCCTCTGGAAAAATATTTATATCCCAGGAAATAAAACTTCTTAAAAGTTTCTTAAGCATGCCTACTTAAGGAGCAAATTTTTTTTTCTCCCCAGTTGTTGCAACCTGCTGGCTTTTAAAAAGGGTTTCTTTGGCATGAAAGTAAAACATAGGAGACATACAAATCTTTGCAGTTTTAAATGAACAAATGAAGGTGCACACTTCCTGGAACACAAATCTCACTAAATAAGATTATTTACTGAAAAAAAAAAAAACAAAAAACCTCAGTCAAGGGGGTGAGAAAAAGCTATTAAGACATTTTGAAATTATTGATTCACCACATAACAAATCCCATAATAAATGTCTTTATACAATTTCTTTAAGAGCCAGGTCCTTCCCCTAGCATATGGTAAATTATTTTATTTACAAAAACATACATACAGATTCTCAGGAAATTGAGGTATCAGAAAATTGAGATATAGTCATACAGCAAAAGAGGTAGTCATGAAAATCCATAACTAAAAATGAGCTTATTTCTTAGCACTTTAAAAACCTTACATTATAACTTCTGTATTGTTTACATTTTTTAAAGTAGAAGATTTTGGCACTTTGGTGGTCTGTTACTCCGCCATCTTTTTCATAAGATTAAACAGTGATTGCTCTCAACAGAACACGTGCTCTGAGCTTTCTCCCCAACGTTTTCAGGCTGTACCAAGCCTGGCACTCCCAACCCCACTTCTGTCGTTTTGATGAATCACTTATTAGATGACCAGCTTGAACCAAGGGTGACACACCGTGGCCAGAGAACATAGAAAAATTAATCTGGTTCTCTCAGAAACAAAAACATTTGCCTTGGGATCCACGACTTATCTTCCAGGATTTAAAAAAATATTAAGTATAAAAATGATATTCCTCCATGTTCCGGTATAATCACTGGTAATGAGAAATCGACCTGCTAGAGGTCAAAGGATTTCAAATTCATCTAAAATGAGAAATTATTAGGCTAAACTATGTAAAATGTTTTAATGTTAAAAATATGACAATCTCATCAGAAACCAATTTTTGGCATTTGAGTTTGTGCATCTCTGCAACTCCAAGAACTTCCAAATAAAATCCAGAAAGGGCTACTTTCCTTAGAAGAAGCACTACATCATAACGGGGCAGTGAGAGAGGTGGTCAGTCAGAAACTGTTTTAATGAAATAGATTGTCAACATAAACAGTGCAGCTACACTCTTTTGCTCAGAGACAATTTTCAATCATGATATTTGTTTATTTCAATAGATAGCCGGGTCTTAAAACTCCTACCCAAAACATGCTTTCCTCAGCTTTTACTGCTTAAGTATTATCTAAAGCTATGTTGTCCAATACAGTAGCCACTAGCCACATATAGCTATTTAAATTTCAGTTGATTAAAAATTCAGTTCTTCATGCTAGCCATTCTTCATGGGCTCAAATACCTACATGTTACTGGGTGCTAGCATATTGGAGAACATAAAGAACATTCTTACCATCATAAAAAGTGCTATTAGCACTGATCTGAAGAAAGTGCAGTGTGCCATATGCTCCTGAGACTTTTCAAACTCATCTTTTTAATAAGTTGTTTAAAAGTATCACTATATTTCTGTGCTACAGGTTAATACTGATCTCTGTTCATAGGTGTGAAAGAACAGTATCAAATTTCTGGTCCTTATTTAGACAATGTATGAAGTATTTAAAGTGCCATGTGAGGCACAAGTAAAACATGAACTCAGATATTTTCAAAACATGACTATAAAAGAAAACTGAAGAGATTTGGTATACATGATGAAATTTAGCAGTCATGATTGTAACATCTCTTCCATTAATATCCATAAATCTTGATGAAAGCATAAACACCATTTAAAGCTTCTCACAAAAATGAGAGAAAAAGCCCTTTACATAATGCTCTATTTTACTTTGGTGTCTCAGTATGGGTAAAAACAAATTACTTAAATACAAATAAAAATGGGAAATTGAAATAAAAACTGTCTTAGGAATAAAGTGCTATGAAACAAGGACAAAAAAGTTTTGGTTTAATATGCTCATTTGTATTGATATCTGATATATGAGATGTTTAACTTTGAATACTTTCAGGAAACTTAAGTTCATGTTGCTATTTTTCTAATTTACTTTGTCAGAACACAAAGTAGAGATAAGAACTGTCTATCACTTCTTCCAAATAACTCTGAGATGAGAGGCAGGAAGTGGGGAACAGAGTAGATTGCTTGGATTTTTTCTTAGTAAGTAAAACAACTCAATCATAAAATGCACACAGCTGTATCTAAAAGAAAAATGCAAACACAACGTAACCATACTTTATTTGACTGCACCTTATTTAGACAGCTTGCACATTTCAAATCCCATTAAATCTCTCTCTCCAAAAGGATACGGGACAATAGAAGAAAATTATGCAGCAATATCCAGTCATCAAACAGCAGTCCAATATTTTGAGATACACGTGATATTTTATACTCAACTCATATCTGACGTCAATATAATTTATAGTTATGTTTTTACAAACCTGAAAGCCCTGTAACATTTTAGCACTCATTTTAGTGATGTCATGGTGCACTGAAAAGTAACTCTGATGCACTACCAATTTGCTTTTATCTATGCCCCTGAAAAGTGATGAATTTCATGATTTTTAGACATCATAATATACACATCCAGTCTTATACATGTCAGCCAATACCACAACACAGGGCAAGGTAAAGTTAAAACATGTGACAAACAAACTCCTTTACAAAAATTTGTCAAGCAAGTGGAGAGGGTGATTTGGGGAAGAGGCAGAAAATATTAAAACCAAATTTTTAATATGTTGTCTCTTTCTCATTAATTTTGCTGTCTTCAACTTCAAAAACTATTGTCTGGTTCTGACCTGTGGATTTCTCTTGAGTAGTTTTATTTTAACATAATGGAAATTGTAATCAGTCCACATATCAAAAATGGTAGTATACCCGTTAACTTCTTCAATACTAACATATATAGCTTCATGGTAGCATGTATAAAAGATGTTCAGCGGTATTAACTGCCCAACCCAGTGTCAGTGGATAGCACAGTCAGTCTTAAAGAGGCAGCACCCCTTTAAAAGAAAGTTGCACCAATTTTGCTCAGGTTTAGCCAAGTGAACTCACTCTATCAATTTTAAATGGAATTTTTTAGATTATTCAAGAAAAATAAAAACCCAATATCAAAAAGTAAATTAATGTTTGATTCCCTTTTAATTGGAATAGAGGCTTAATTCTGGTTATCATGTTAAAAGTTAAAATTTTAGTCTACTTAACAATTTTTGCATACCCAATTAAAGACATAAAGTAGACAGTATTATTTAACATAAACTAGTAGTCAAACAATACAGCAACCATATGACTTTTTATCACATGGCTATGGTCATATTTATAAATACCCAATTTGGCAAAACTTAAGTCAATTCAGAGGGAAAGGGTCAGTAGTGATGGTTTCATTGACAACCTGCCAAAAACATAATTGTTGAACTGAAAATCCAGCATGTGTCTACTTTAGAACTGTCCCCTTTAGTGAGTCAAGCAAATATATGTTCATCGATAATCATTACCTATGAACCAGCAATTCAAATATAAAGTGGTGAGAGAAAAACTGGTGATATAAGTACTGTACTGTTTTTTTTTTTTTAGTTCAATTAACTCCATATTAAAAATAACAGAAGCATCACCATTGGTATTCCTCTAAATGCTAGAGCCCAAATGAAGTTTGACCAAAATCATACTCAAATGGTCAACTGAAAAGCTGAGTATTATGTGGTCATATTTTAATGTAACCAGTATTCTGTCCATTAAACTTTCAAGAGCAATATAAAATGGAAAGAAAAAGGTTTCTTTAATAATAAGGAACTATAAATGATCCCACCAGCAGAAAGATTTATTTTCACCAAATCTGTATATCTTTATTTTAAAAGTACTTGTTACCATGTTCACTTTCAAGACATTACACTGAGCAAAGAGCAGCTTTCCTTTAAAAAAATAAAAAAAAAAAAGGACAACAAACTTTCCTGAAAGGGGGCTTTTACCAACTGTTAATGGAGGTAGGGTTTTAAAAAAAATACAGTAATCATAGTCATAAAATAAAATTCAAACCAAATACTAGAGAAGAAGTAAAGCATATCCAAATGAAAGAAAAAAGCATAGTTTCCTATAAAACATTTTTCACAGAGAATGAATTTTTTTTCCCATGGGTACCTAGGTTTTCCAGTTAAATAAATTATCATCACAGGTTTCCTGACTCAATTGAAAGCAATTAATTTTAAAATTTGTTATAGTGCAGACTGGCCGAAACACAATTTAAGTTATGAGCTAACTGATGGCTATTGAAAACCCATAAGCACTCATTCCAAAAAAAAATTCCATTTCTCACTTTTGTTTTTCTAGGAACTAAGCAAAGTTCCCCCAAGTATTTGCTCAAATAAGTGGAAAGTAAATAAAATCAGTTTAAAGTGGATACAATGCACCTTAAGAGACCAAGAACCAAAAGTGAAACATTTCAAGAAATGAAAGCAATGTGAATCCTAATCAAGTGGGAAAAAACTTCCACCTACATTGTAAAAGCTGTTCTTCACAGCTTAGCAATAATTTTGATTAAATAAAATCATATCAGTTTACATTAATTTTCTATTCTTTTCCAAAAATTCCCTCACTCTCAAAAAAAAGTGCATCCAAAACCCAGCAATTCCCAGCTCCACCAACTTTCTTATCCCCTTTGGAGCCATTTCTCAAAAGATTTTCCGAGTAAATTCAACTTCTTACTGTAAAGTAAACCACTCTGTCACTCACCTGGAAAAAATATCCAAATTATAAAAATCTGAAATAATTTATTATCAAATTTAGAATTTAAATTAAAAAAAAAAGTTTGCTTGCAAAGGCCTTAAAAAAAGAAAAGAAAAAGGTAGCATGCATTAAAAAACTAGAGATGAAGACAAATATACTTATCTACACAAGCACTGGCAGACGCAATTTAATTGTTATCTTTACTCATTGTAAGACACAACCAACCCTAAATTTTTCATTCACTAATCACTGAGGTACCAATATTCAAGAATGGAAAATTTAATATTGAAAAAATAAAACCTAAAATTGAAGCTTTCCCCCTACCTCCTTCAGAAAACTATGACAGGTTTCATGTGAAATGTTAGTATACTTAGAGATTTTTACAATCTACATTGGCTTTTTTAAGGAACAAAAATAATGTTCCACTTACTGGTTCTGTGGTAAAATGATCACTTTGTTATTAATTACATTGTCAGCAGACTTTGCAAATGAACAAACAAATCTTGGCTATCAACTGGCACATCTTGCTGGTACCAAAAAAACTCTTTAAGTTTAAAACAATCTCTTTTAATTCAGAACAAATGCGCCATGCCAAAGTGCAACAAATGTTGTGCGACACTCAATGAGACACTGACAGATAAGAACTGCATGGAAATTACTAAATCCACCTGCAAAGCAATTCTGTACAAATTGCATTGCATGCAAAGGTCGATTCTGAGTGGTTGAAGAGTTGTTCCTTGATGTCAGTTTCTCAACGCAGCCACAATTTAAGTCGCAGTGCATCAACTCCATTTAAATAGTATCTGAACAGCCTCTTATCTCGAACAAAACCAAGATTTTCATAAAGTTTCAAAGCAGACTTATTCGTTATTTCTGTTTCCAAAACAACCTTCAAAAAATAAGAAAAAATAAGTTATAATGTTATATATTTGAAACTAATTTACAATTTCATAATTTGACAAATCACTTATAAACAATTAGATCAAATAATTTTTAAAAAAAACATACCATACTTAACTTTTTAAAAATTGATAGCTAAAAAGATATACAGAAAAAAAGCACAAAAATAGTCATCAAAAGTTTAATAATAATTTTTTGGGGAGAAAGGGGGTGGAAACATGTTGTTCTATTGATTTTTGTGATATTTAGAATTTTTAGTAATGAAAATATGTTTCAAACTAAAACAAAGATAAATTATTTCCCTGTGGATAATAGCAGTGTGACAAAAAGATGGAAAGAAAAAAAAAATCAATGGTTTAGAAAATAAACCAGTATTTGAAAGTTTCACCATTGACCTCCAACTCTTTTTTTTTTTAAATAACTACAGATATTTTACTGTATTTATGTATGTAAAGAACAAGATTAAATATAGGTATGTTATAATCTACTTATAACTTTGTCCTGTATGCAGGAAGTTTTCCTTATACAATATACATTCAAACAATAGGTTTACATGCTTGTTGGAGGGGTGCTGTATTTGGAGCATTAATTTGTCATCATTTATCCTGATGAAAACTACCACACTTGTCTAGAGTCCAGATCAGAATCTGCAAACTACAGCCCTTGGGTCAAATGTGCCCATGTCTATTTTTGTAAATAAAGTTTTATTGGAACACAGCCAAGCCATTTGTTTACATGAGGTTTATAGCTGCTTTCTCCATTTACAAGGACAGATATGAGTAGATGCACCAGAGATCTATGGTCTGCAAAGCCTAAAATATTTACTACTTGGCCTTTTGCAGAGAAAATTTGCTGAACCTAGACCAAAAGTAACCAAACTTTAGTGTACCTGGAGGGCTTGTTAAAAAAGATTGCTTAGCCCCATCCCCAAAGTTTCTGAGTAGGTTTGGGGTGGGGCCCAAGAATATGTACTTTTTAAAATTGCCAGATGATGCTGGTCAGGGGACTAAATACAATACTTTAAACAGAAAAACACACAAAGTATTATTGCCTTTCTGGGTCTTTTTTAATATTACTGTAGCAATGGCCCTGACAATGAAGAACTGATACTTTTGAAAATTATGTGATTATCTTTCCTTAATTTACTTTCCTCTACCAATACATCCTGTATCCCACCCTCCCAACTTTTATATTCATAGCTCTATTGCTTTTCTATTGATTCTAAACCTACCGCACTGAGAATTATCAATAGAGTGAGCCATGGTTACTGTTAGGATGTTATAACCCTCAGGTGTTTGGAGTGGAATAAAAAGGGCAAAATATCATTAAACAAAGGCCCAAGTGAAGCCTTTGAGCATGTTCCTATTCTAACTCAAGCTATCAAAAATCTGACAAGAATTCAAACAAAAAATAAAATTGAGAAAAGACTGTACCTCAACTCATATCCAAAGACTGAACTCATGATTAACTCCTCCTCCATGATCCCATGTCAGTAACAAGATGTCCATCACAATAATGCCTCAAGCCTGAAACCTAGGAGTCATCCTAGAACAGTGGTTCTCAACCTTCCTAATGCCGCGACCCTTTAATACAGTTCCTCATGTTGTGGTGACCCCCAATTTCATTGTTACAAATTGAACATAATTAAAGCATCGTGATTAATCACAAAAACAATATGTAATTATATATGTGTTTTCCGATGGTCTTAGGCGACCCCTGTGAAAGAGTCGTTCGACCCCCAAAGGGGTCGTGACCCACAGGTTGAGAACGGCTGTCCTAGAACCTCTTTCCTTTCCACCCCCCTACTTTGTCCAAGCACTGAGTATTTCCACTTTTTCCCTTAAATCTCTCTCAAATTGGTCCTCTTCTTTCTATCCCCATTGATACCACTCTAGTCTGAGCTGCCATCAACTTTCCCTGTAAGTACAAGAGCTTCCTAACTCAAAGATCTCCCATTCTCTAAAAAGTGTGATGCTCTTGTTAATTCTCTGCTTGTCCTCAAGATCAAGTCTGTAAATTAAAAATAATCTAAAGAAATCTAAAAGTCCCATCAAAATTTGGTCTCTACCTACCTTGCAAACTTTGTCTCTCCCATTGCTCTCCACAATCAACACTAAACTTTCAGTTTCTGGAATCTACTGAGATCTTTCCTACTTTAAACCTTCACATAATGTTTTCTCTGTGTAGAAGTACGCTATTCCTACCCTCCTTCTTTTGGCCTTAGCCTGTCACTTCCAGACTGAATCGAGTATATCCCTTTCCGTTTATACCTCACAGCACTCTGCACCACTCCTTATTCCACTGCATTCTCATTTAACATTTGATAAGTATGTCATCTCTCTTAGTTGGTGAACCTAATAATGGCTGTGATTATGGATGGGTACCTCCTTCACAGTTATTTTCTCTGCACCTAACACATTGCCTGACATATAGAAATATCTTAAATATTTATTAATGATATCCGTTCTCAGCACCTTTTATTATATTACATAAATATTAAACAAACAAAAGTATTGCCAAGCTTGTAAATGACCGGAGTGCTTAAAGAGAAAGCACCATCTTAAGACAATTACTTATGCAATTAAGTCATAGAAGCAAATCACAAGCTAAACACAAACTTTTAAAAGATCTAAAAAGCAAGGATCATGAGGAAATTTTCCTAAGACGGCCTAAAATAATATTTGTGCAGCAAACATACTGCTTTAAAATAAAAATAAGAAGTCACAACTCTCTGCTCTTTAAATAAACACAGAATTTAATGGCTAATTATTTTGTATCTACAATCTGGTAATAGATTTATTTTGTATATTGTAAATAAATAAATAAGTAGAATTTTTTTTTAAGTAATGTAGGCCACCTAACACCCCAGTCTGATCAATACAAGTTTTCAGTTTTGAACAATTCGCTTGGTTAGTTCCTAGAATTCTGTTTTAGGCCAGCACCTAATTACAACAACTAGTAAAATGTTAAATCAAAACAATTAATAGGAGAAGCAATAAAGCTGCAATGACACAAAACTTGGAACTGATTTCACAGAAATAAAAAGGAGTGACAGTTTTAATAAAATAGCTCATATTTATCAAAGATTTACTAAATGTTATGGAAAGCATTTTATATGCATTTGTCATTATGGTATTTTCACAATAACCCTATAAATAATTATTATTTTCTCTAATGTACAAGTGAATGAAACTCAAGGCCAGTCTCTAAACCTGAACTAGAGCTTAATAGTATTCACTCTTCTATACCTCCCATGATTGGTTTCCAAAGTAAAAACAATGCAGCAAATGGGAGCTCTAACATATTTAAAACATGATGGAGATCTAAGTCCATGTTCATTAATATTTGGCAATCTAAAGTATTCAAAACATCTGCAGCTAACTACGGCTACATAAATACAAACTTGAGGTGTTGAATTACATAGAAAAAAAATTTCACAAAGGGCTAACCTTTGCTAAAATTAAAAGAGTCTCTCCGCACACTCACAATTTCTAAACCAAGAGATCATGTATTATTTGACTCAATAAAAAATGCTAGGAAAAAAGTAACTACTTTTTAATATTTAATCACTTACATTCTTATATTAAAAGAGAATCTGGGTTTATACTGGAAATTCATTATAAAACTATTCTTTCAGTGCATATCATGGGAGTATTACATCGGAAGCCAAAGGATAATAAGGTTATTTGGTCCTAAAGAAACTAGGCAGTTGAATTATAGTGAACTTCTACGGATTCTCTTCGCAACAAACCATTGTTAGAATATGCCAAACCATTACAGTTTAGAAAGCCCTTTCTAATACTAGAGGCCCGGTGCACAAAAATTTGTGCACTCGGGGGGGAGGGCGGTCCCTCAGACGGCCTGTGCCCTCTCGCAGTCTGGGACCCCTCGGGAGATAATGCCCTGCTGGCTTAGGCCTGCTCCCAGGTGGCAGAGGGCAGGCCCAATCCCTAGGTGCA